TGGGGGCCCACTATGGAGGGGAAAGCATGGGTCATGGGGTTATCCATGCTAGGCCAAGGGGTCCACTGTGGCTGGGCAGAGGTCAGAGCCTAAGCAGGGTGAGGAGAGTATTCTAATGGCAGAATGACCTAGCCTGGGGCTTTAGAACACAAATAGCGTGAAAAGGACATCCATGAGAGAGCCTAACCTGGGAAAAAGAGCAACAGCCTGGAATGAGAAGCAAAGCCCAAGCAGAGAGAGTAGGGTACCATGTGGGTGACCGGGAGGAAGAATATGGGAGATACATTTTATACTGCTGGATTGATCAGATAAATAAATATATTAAGGCTATAAAGACCAGGTTTCTTAATGTCAGAAGAAGGACAAATGAAAGAAAGAAAGAAATCTAGAGTGAATCACCATGTAATGTTGTGTTGGAATTAATGGGACACGTGTGAGTCCGTGGATTTATAGATAAACAGATAGTTAAATGTGTATATGTACGCATGCGTATTATGTATGTATATGCGTATACACACATATGCATACACACTTATATTTCTATATTTACACACATATCTATCTGGATAGATGCAGATCCCCTGTTCTGTCCACTGTTGGGAATCCCAGCAGCATTGAGCATAACTAGTGCCTACATCTGGACTTCTAAAACCACTTTCCACTCAGAAGAAACCAGGGTTCCTTAGATAGCAGGTGATTTTAGCGTTGGGACAGGGGAAGCTCAGCTGAGGCCAGATTATCTCATTTGGCCAGAAAGCAAGGAAGTGCTGAAAGAATGATGGGGACACACACGGCAGAAGGACACAAGACTCAATTTGAATGGGCTCCCACTGGCCAAAGTTAGGTCAATTTCAGTATCAAAACAGAATAATAATAGTAACAAATCTTTATCCCTTGAATAAAGACACCATGATGTCATACGGATATAAATGAACAAATCAATACATGGACATTTTGATGAGGAACAGAAGATTTACAGTTTCCACGTACTTTCCCACAAAATATTTATTAACTAGAATGAGGAAAAGACTATTCCAGTGGAGAAGCTTGACAGACACCATCCCAGTTGAGTGATTAAAATGAACATTATCTATAATGTAACAGAGCCACATTGTGAGTGCCTCATAGGATTACAGTTAAAAGAGCACGTTATCATTTCTGTGTTATTTCTGCCCAAGATGAAGAACTGGATTTTAATCACAAAGAAATATCACACTGACCCAAACAAAGGATATTCTACAAAATAACTGTTTGTAATCTTCAAAAGTGTCAGGTCCATGATGTCCAGACTGAGGAACTGTCCAGACTGGAACACACTACAGAGATGTGACAATTAAATGCAAAAGAAGACCCTGGACAGACTCCCAGGCTACAGAATCCTTTATGGACACCACTGGCAAGTCCCAAATGTAGCCTGAGGATTGGGTATTAGTGATGTGTCGATGTTGATGTCCTGATGTCGATTGCCACCTTATAATTACAGAGGACAATGTCCCTGTCTGTAGGAAGTACCTACTATTCACAGGTGATAGGACATTAGGTCAGAAACTTACTCAGGAACTGAATGGTCCTTGCACTGAAAATGAAAAAAAGCAGCTGTTCCAAGAAATGTGACTATGCTCAAGAACAAGGTCAAACTGGAAGTTTTAGCTAAGAAAATCAGTTCCCCACCCCTCAAAAAAGCACAGCAAGTTATTTTCAATTGCTGAATATCAAATGTTCATTCTCTAGCTTGTTGCTACTGCTAAAATATATTTGACAAGAGGCTCCTCTTAAAACCAGGTTTTATTTCATGGAAATTTTGTTCTTTAACAATTCACTCGGAAATGTACAGTGCTGAGAAGGGCAATGCTTCAAGGCCCAGCATGGACAACCAGGCCAGGCGAGCCACCATGAAGGTTCTTCCCACCCGCAATTGTCCACACAGAAAGCTGCAAGCAACCCAGGAAACACCTCTGCAAAGCCAGTCACCTTAGCCAAGTCAGCTAAAAACAGAGAACACTATACTTGATTCAAATTACAAGTTCAGTACTATACTGTACACGTCAGCATTACACATGCTTAAGATAATATAAGTATGCGTAATGGCACATAGGGTCTCACTTGTGAAGTAAACTATAAGCAGGAAAATACAAATTTTAAAACTACTAAATAACCCCATTTTACCTAGAGTTTAAAAGGTTGCCATAGGCCCCCTGACTGCTTAGAAACCTCAGGTATACAGATAAAAAGGGGGCAAAATATTCCAATTGACAATAATCATTTCACCTGTATTTAAGAACTTTACTGGACAAATTATATTCTAAAGAGGGTTATTTAGAAGGGCTAGGGCCATTTTTCATACTGGATGGTTTCTAGGAGAGGGAATTGTGCCCTGACATGTGTGTGTTTCTGCCCAGATCCTGCAGGTCAAAACTCAAGTAGAGCCCACTGTGATGCCCAGGGTGACTTCAGCCTCTCAGGGCAAGAGCACAAGGTTCTCCTGGCCAAAAGGAATCTCTTAACCCTTGGAATTCCACCCAGGTATGGCTGATGATGTTGATGCTCCAGGCTGATGGGGACCACTTTGACCTGAAAACCCCGAGGCAACATGGCTACTGATTGGCAGCAGCCTATAGCACCTGCCGCTTTGGGGTTAAAAGGATCATTTGCTGTACCCCGGGAGAATGTTGGCCAATTAAAGATAGTTTTTTTGCCTTTTAATATGATCTACATAAATAGTTAAACTTGTAAGCAATAGTGCCATAAAAACATAAGGAATGGTAGAAAACAGGATAATAAAATGAAGTTGCTTTTGATTCTAGGCAATGTTTCTTACCACTAATGTCAACAAAGTAAACCATTTTAACTGAATTTGGGGAAATAACACATCTTTCTGGAGTAAAAATATTCTTGCAAGGAGAATACAGGCAAATATACCCATCATCAATTTTATATCTGTGTGTATATGTATATTTTATATATGTATACACATATATAAATACACACACACAAAAAAAAATACAGAGAAAGAGAGAAACAGGTCCTTATTCAGAGTGGCTGTCAGGCTGTCAAGTAGTCATGTTGTAGTATGTTTATAAGGAAAACTGTGGGCAAGAAAAAGCATCTAAGATGTGGAGACAGAGACTCCATCCCAGTGAGGTCTATTTGTTGAGCACACATGATCTAGGCTGTCTATAAGGCTGGTTGCATGAGGGTATTTGTTTTGCAAGAATTCAGTGGAACCACAGCAGTCTGTTAAAATCTCTATTGACTGATACAGTCACTGGCCCAGAATGAAGAAAACACCATCAGGAGATGTATATGGTCAAATCAAGTCAGACTTTCCGTGGTCCACGAAATGAGGAAATCAAGCACTTCAGGTTGCAGAAAACTGGTGAACGTGGTTCATGGCTGGGTGCCAGAGAGTTCCAGATTATGGAGTCACATCTGTAACAAAAATTTAGCATAAGTTCTTCCAAAGCTCTCAATTTCTTTCATCAAGCTTAGCCCTTTCAATATACTTAGCCCATCCCTTTGCCTCTCACGCACATACCCACATACCACATGCATGCAAACTCGCTCTTTTGTTTCCCCCCAAACTCGCTGTTATGTTTCCAGACCCACTCCTGTTTCCATGTCTTCTGTGCAGTTTGACACAGCCCAATCTCAACTCCTACAGCAGACATTATGTGAACGCCTCACTTTGAAACTCTCTGCCTCTGATCCCAGCTGCAGCTAGAAGTAGCGTGAGTGCTGGCTGACCAGGCACAATAGCCTGCTGTGTATCTCTGCTTTTCTACCTCCTGGTTTTCTCTGAGGACTGAGAGCAGCCTCTTCCCAAGCACAGGGCACAGACCAGGGATGAAGGGAAGTTAATGATCTATGCAGGCAGCCCCAAATCTGCAGGGCTTGAGCCAGGGGATAATGCCCTATGCTTGCCATCCTCGGGGAGAACGATTCCATAGGCATACTCACTTCGCAGATATCAGATAAGGTCAGGCTGCTGTGGCCTGTAGCTGAGGTTTGAGTCATGTGCCCCCCCCCATTTGCTCTGCCTCCTCCTTGCTTATCTTACTCTCCCTGCTCCCCCATGCCTTCCACTTGCACCCAAGTCCTTATCTCAGGTTCTACATGGGACAATTCCAAGTAAGACAGAGCTCATTATCATGAGCACAGAGAATGAGAGAAAACATATTTTTTGAATAGCAAAGCCACAAAATACAAGTTATTTGCTAGTGTCAGAGCTGGGGAAACTGAGACAGTCACTGAGCACTCTGGGCATCAGTTTTCTGTCACCTAAAAAATGAGGTGGTCAACTACAGGAGACTTTTTAACTCCCTTCCCAAGGTATAGTCCCCATCATGACACAAACTGTGTGTGACCCTTGACCATTGAGGGGTAGCAAAAATGCTGTGGCTTTGCTTGTCACATTATTCCAACCCCAGAGGCATAAGATGTCCACATTTTTCATAATGGATGCTTCAAACTTTCTGAGCACTCCACAAACTTGACAACACTCAGTTCTAACACCCAACAGAAAAGGTCAAAGTCTCACCAGAGACTTGGGAAGCCATCTAAGTTCCCTCAATTTGCACTCTCTACATCATAATATGTAAGTATAATCACCAATTTCTCCTTCTTCCCCCTGGTAGCACCAGCCCAGCTCTCTCTTCCTAATCTGGGTCCAGAATTCCCACGCATCTGTGTATTCAAATCCACAGTATCTGACTTGGTAACTTGCACTTAACTGATATTCAGTAAATGCTCATCAAAAGACTTACTAAACTTTTCAACAAGACTTAGACTCATCCCAGTTTTTGAAATATAGCAACTGGAAAATTGCTTTGATGCCATTGTGACTTATAAATTTTTTGGTTATTTTCAATAGTGGTTTACAAACATTGCTTAATTGTTTTCAATATATTTCAGAAAGCTTAAATCCAGTTAAAGTGAAAATCTAGATTTTTCACAGAAAGTACTGATATTAGGCCTGAAAACAAAAAATTAAAATCCCAGCCTTAATCAAAAGAATGCTCTTCCCTACCCAAACCCCTGAACGGACCTGTACCTGTAAGTATGGGTTTTTTGGCTGTGCTCACTGCAGCCATGAACATGTATTCACTGTTAGGGTCATGAACGCTGGATTGATACTTCTGAAAGAAAAAGCCAGAAATGTGGGTTGTCATCTGCTCTTCCCCATCTCCAAATTTGCTTTTTGACTGTTCTATAGTCTTCATTGACTATGAAATAGTCAATGATAAATGTGATAAAAGCATATAAAAGTGACTTAGGCTTTAGGCTAAGTAGGAAAAAAATAAGAAAAGGGCTTCACATAAAAAGAGCCTTTCACCGAACTTCCTTCCTCATTTTGCTTTTATTGCTTCTTCCCCAGCAGATTTAGATGAGGGCCCAATATCATTCTCTTCCCTCTTTATCTCTCTTTTCACATTCCAGTCTGGCACAGATATACTCTCGTCTGGCCAATGACCATGCTGTATGGATATACTTGAGTACTAGCATGTTTGTATAACATGTAGTCTGATACAAGTCCTTTGAGAAACTGTAATGTGAAAACTAAAAAAATTCCCCCAGCATAGAGATTTTTGTTGTTGTTGTTGTTCTTTATCTTTCTAAATAGCTTTTGGGTGGTTTTCTTTATTTCTTAGTCTAATAACGTACCATGTAAAGAAGCTGCCAATTTCCTTCTCATCTGCAACTGACATATCACAAGACCTTCTCACTGATTGTTTTTAACTCAGCAGTTGAGCAAAACATAACTATTTCATCTCTGTCCTGACTCTTTGGAAGCTTACATTCAAATATGCAGCCTGTGCTCAATAATTTTGAAAATATCAAAGGCAACTATTTTTATGTTTTAACCTTCGTCCTGACCTTTTGTCTTCCCTGGGCCCCATTTCCTCATATTTTTGAATAATAATAACAACAACAACATATCTCTCCACTGAGTCAAGTTCTATTTGGAATACAAGGGTTGTAAAACAAATAAATGAGTAAACTTCTGTTCCAAGTGCTTAATTTAATTTGGTAGGTATATCTTAGGGGAAAGGAATTCTGGCAAGAGCAATGTGTACTTTTGATGAGAAAATAATAACTGATATAGCTTGGTAAAGCAGATTCAAGAAAAGATAGGAATTGCTCACCTTTTTTGTAAGCCAAAAAGTAAATAAGCATCCAAAAACACAGACTATAACAAGAGCTGCACATCCTATTGACAACCAGAACTTCAGTAGGCAACAAACTTGTGGGAGTTGTGGTTCTGTAGTGGGAAAAAAGATAAATTGAAAAAAAAAAATTCTGAGAATCAAATCTCCTCTTTCAGTGCTGAACCACAGTTCTTTTATCAAATTCAAAAAACCTATTTAATCAAATGAAGCTTTTATTCATTACAATCATGAAATCCAGTCAATGGCAACTAACACCATCCCAGTATTACAGCAAAGATCCAGAAGCAGAAACCTGTTGATAGAAATGGTTTTTCTGCCTATATTTTGCAAAAGATTTAGCATTAAAAACTATTTTCTATAACATGTTATAAAACTATGATTTTTTAAATCATCTCACTCCATTCCACAAACACAGCACCAAATCAAACCTAAAATCTTAGGTGAATAGAGATGATAGCCATGAAGTTGATTATTTGTCTTCATTTTTTCCCTAATTTTTAATGGCATAGGTGTTTTAAAGACAACATGACCTACTTCTAACTCAGCCGTCTAATTGAACAAATTACATTTTCTGATTAATACTAATAACAATAATAGTAATAAATTATGGCTTATATATCTCCATTATAAATGATCATCACGAACTGCATGTTAATGAGTTGCTAGATAACAGGTCCTTATTTGTCCTAATTGTTTTAATTAGTAAGAAAAGTTGTCAAAACATGAATGTATTCTTAAGTCTGGAAGATGAAAGCAATGTCTTACCATAAATATGCAAATATTCTCTTTTAAGAATGCTTTTAAAAGGAGGAGGATCAAAGATCGACAGTTTGCAGAAGTAATAGCTGGCATGAGAACGGTCCAAGTTATGTAGAAAGAAAGAGACGCCATTGTTGGACACTTGAGGTTGACAAAAACTCAGATTTTCAGTAGACACGGTTTTTCCACTTCCCTTTGTCTTAGTGAGATTACAGAGTATTTGGCTCCCTTTTAGTAACTGCATTTGAAATTGTTGGACAGTCTCGGGATATTTGCATAAAACTTGTACACCTCCGTTGTGAAAAGTAAACATCTCATAATTGGCAGATTCATTGATTTGTCCTGGATAAAAGAAAGATAAAGCGAAAGTGACACTTCATGAATATGTTGCCCTAATAGCTGTATTTTAGCATAAAAGTAATTTCTTCTGTTCATAAATTCCTCTCTGTTGCACCAAAATGAAGGAGCTTTACACATCCCACCCTCCGCCTAAGAAAGAACGTAAGATAAAACTGTGTCCTAGGAAAAAAGAAAAACCTAACCAGAAACTTGCTTACCACGTGTGAATATATAATCTGGAATACACTGAATATTAAATAATATATTTACATAGCTTGAATCAAACAGGTATGGTCCCTGCCTTTGGCTGCTTTCGAACGTAGCACATCATAATTTGTATTAGGAATGGAATACTACTCAAATAAAGGTAGTGGGCGAGGGTGGGTTATAATTTTAATGAAAGAATCAGAAAATGCCACTTTAAGGAAATGAGTTTCAGAATTGAAATTGAAGGATGAGTAGAACTTAGCCAAATAAGGAAAGATACGGGAAAAGATACATAGTTCAGGAAAAAAAAAAAATTGTAAAAGTACAAAATACCTTAGACCAAAGATGAATGATTATATATAAATGTATATTTACATTATACCCTCCCCTGGAAAGTAAAAGAACAGAAAAATCATTTTCCAATGATAGAAATGTACTTCCTCGCAGTCCACTGAGAACTGAATCAAGGCTTGATGATATAGCTAAGCCTCAGATTTTTATTTACTTTTTCAGTTTTTTAAATAAATGTCGGCTCTTGGGAAGCCAACACTGTTTTGGTGAACTACATAGGGATCACAGAAAGAAGAAACTGAAATGGTTTGGGCCTAGTTATAGATTCTGAGTTAGAAGTATACTCAACTTACAAACACCTAACCAACATTCCGTTTGCACTTACAAATGGAGGCTATAACAAGTAATAAGTAAATGTGCCTGTTCCAACTTACATACAAATTCAACTTAAGGACAGACTTACAGTAAGCTATCTCATTCGTAACCCAGGGACTACCAGTATTAAATTTTAAATTCAAACTGTTCTTTGCCTTTTTTCTTTTTCTATTTTCTTGTTTGTTTAATGTTGCAAAGTTTCATGCTGAAATTCTTTAAGAAAATTACAGTGTGATGGGTTTTTACTTAAATTTCAACATCTTTTGTCTTTATTTTTGAGAAAACTATATGACATGTGTAAAGGACTTTTAAGGAAAAACTTACCTAGTTCTCCCATGAAATAGAAATATCAATTTTATATGTTTGCACTTTATCTTCTGGAAATACACTTATTTTACTTAGCAAACATATCATTTTGTGTTCTTCTGTTGTCATTGAATGTCATATCATAAATATTTCATTTTTACATAGTCATCATAATTATCCTCCTAATGACTATATGATAGGCCATAATGTTAATCTATTATAATTTATTATAACTACTACACTAATGGTGGGTGTTGGGATTATTTTCAGCATTTTCTTTTGTACAAATATTATGACATTCTAGAAAAATATTTTAAAATTATTATTATACCATACATTGCCATTTTGCTTTCTGAAATTTATAATAGGATTAGTGGTATATAGGAGGACCCATTTGCCACACCTCTGCTTGCACAAGTCACTTTAATTTTATTTAAGATTCACCACAATTATTTTTTTAATATCTCTAGGCTTTAATTTATATCTCTCTTATTATTAGGAAACAGACTTTTTACTCGGGGAATTGATTATGAAAATAAGCACCCTATTCTAGTTTTCAGTATGGCTGTCCTTATTATTCAAACTAATTTCCATACCAAAATAAGAAAAAATGCTGAATAAAATGTCTAAAAATGTTATTGAAAAGATCAAATAGCTGGCATAAAAGAAGAGACATACACAGTTAAATTTGAAGAGAGAATCAGAACCCAGAGAAATAAGCAGAGTTTGGAAGCTGCTTTTACTCCGAAAGCATTTGCTGATCACCCGAAATCAAACTCATTCTATGTCTCAACTCCTAGAGTTTTCAGTGAGGAACCTAGAAGAGGACCCTCTCCTCAATAAGCTGGGGTCCCAAAGAATGACATCTTCAGAGCACAGTTAAACCAGAGGTAATATAGCCCCCATTGAGATTATAACCCAACTTCACAGTAATTCAATCATCCAGAAAACCTTAATCTTTGCATTTTGGTGGAGTTTTTTGTCTTTGTTTTTTTGTTTGTTTGGTTGGGTTTTTTTGTTCACTTGCTTGTTTGTTTTTTGAGATAGAGTCTCTCTCTGTCACCCTGGGTAGAGTACCATGGCATCAACATTGCTCACAGCAACCTCAGTCTCTTGGACTCAAGCAATCCCCTTGCCAGAGCCTCGTGAAGACCTGGGCTGACAGGCGTCCACCATGATGCCTGGCTCATTTTTCTATTTTTACCAGATACAGGGTCTCGCTCTTGCTCAGGATGATCTCAAACTAGTGAGCTCAAGCAATCTACTCATCTCGGCCTCCCAAAGTGCAACCTTTGCATTTTGTTTAAGGTGGTCTTGTGCTGTTATTAACCCCAGGCTCTTGAAAGTAAAAATGCAAACTATTACAGGAAGAAATGATTTATATCCTAGGCCTCAAATCATTCCTACAAATAATGTTTAAATTTAATGATAAGCACATCATAAAAATAATGAGACATATAAGGAAACAAGGTAACAACAGAAATAACAAACCATAATACAAAAAGAAACTCACAATTAGTATATTAGAATTATCAGGTCTCAAAAACTAAGAGGATTAAGCTTATTAGTTTTAAGGAAATAAAGAAAAACTTATAATAATATTTGCAGCACACGGAAAATTTTTAAAAGTCAACTAATTTGAAAAAGAACTAGAATTGTCAAAAAAATGCACTGAGATTAAAAACTCAATAGATAAGTTTAATACATATTAGACAGAGCTAAAGATAGAATTAATAAAATAGAAGACAGAAAATTATTCAGAGTGGAGTCACAATCCACAGATTCAAGAATTCCAACAAACCACAAGCAACTTTTTTAAAATTATGCACACCTCAACATATATTAGTGAAAATCCTAAAAGTAGGCAGAGAAAAGAGACTGATTCTGATTACCTTTAAGAAAGCAACTATTAGACTCACAGGTGATATCTCAACATCAATAATAAGAGCCTTGACAGAGTGGAACTGTATCTATTATTTTCAATGTGCTGAAAAGAACTACCTGTTGAAATGGAATACAATGTCTAGGAGGATAGGAAAGGCATATGCATTTTGAAACTTATATAAGTGAAGTATAGATGTTGCAATTTCTTACATAAAAATAATCACTAAAATATAAAAACAGATCATATAACCTAACCAAACATCACAAAATTCAGCCTATCTGGAGAGGAAGAAAGTGTTGGCACTTCAGGAAAGAAATGGGTGGAAAGCTTTCTGTGTGCTGACAGCGTTTTATTTCTTGAGTTGTGGTGATTATGAGAGTGCCAAAGTATGGCTTATAATTATTCATTAAATTACGTATTTATAGTATTTTACTTTTCTACAATAAAAATGTTTTAAAAGAATACAGAAGGAAAGTTATGTTTGCTTCATTTTAAAAACTTGATGGAATGATCCAAGGGTGTTCAGACATTTTTTCTTTTCTGCCACACATCAGAAGAATAAGAATTGTCTCGAGCTACATAGTAATTACAAAAAAACTAACCAAAACTGATGGGGAAAAAAAGAAAGATTCATGCATACTTTTGGCACAGATAAGCCAAATAGTCTTCAAAGAATATGTGTACAGCCTACAGGCCATAAGTTGGACGCCCAGGGCAAAGGGGAAGGAACTGACACTATGAGAATCGGTGCAGCCAAGATTAGATTAAAATAAAGGGTGTTTTTCTTGGGTCCTTATTTGTCTGAAAGTAAATTATATTGCCTTACTATTGCTTTGATGCCTATATCTCTATTGTCTGCTGCAAAAGATAAAATCAGTGGACAGGTTCTCAGTTCCTTTAGAAATGTTGACAGCAAATTTCCCAGAGACCTTAGAATGGCAGCAAGTAAACCACCAAGAGATCTTGGAGCAAAAGTGTCTGCGGCCACAAAGAGACAGATGCATTGCCTTCTACTTCTAAAGACGGTTTTGTTAGCAACTTTTCCCCCCTGCACCCACTGTGACTAACATAAGAGGAAATTAATGGTTAGCAGTGCAGTGAGGTGAAAGTGCAATGCCGTGATTCCCAAGGAAACCAGAAGCAAATTCTGGCTCTGCCACTAGGAAGGCTCTGTGACCCCGTACTTCGGTCTCCTTATCTGAGAAATAAGAAAGAGCTACAAAAAAATCTTAAAGGTCCTTCTAAGGAATCTTTCTATGGATTCAGAATCAGAACACATCTGTGAGATGAAACAACCAAGAGAGCTAATATTTTGCTATTGGGTGAGTCCTCCAGAGGGAAGCCAGTTTCCCACAAGTCCCTCTCTGTCTCAGCACTGTTATGGGCTATTCCAGGGAGTCAGAAGAAAGTAAAACGAATGAAACCTTTACTGTTCTTGCTCATAAAATTATTTAGGTAGGGCTGTGCCACGTTTTTCTTGAATGGCATGTTAAGAGCATGTGCCATAAACACAAACTGGGGTTCCTGAGTGTCATTTGTATTGTACACTCTTAATTATTCATTTTCAATCATTTTAACCTTAAAAATACCTGGATAAAATACTTTTATTATTAAATGTAGTGATAAGAAAGCTGACTTAGGTTTCCACATACCTAATGTTTAAGACTTCCCTCTGAGGCTTGGTGCCTGTGGCTCAAGTGGCTAAGG